AGAGATGGGTAACTTCAACTCCGGAGTTGGAGTTAACTCCGGAGTTGTTCATCTCTGATTTAATTTGATTGAAAACGATAGTCTTGTTGTGAACTATGTAGTAACATTGAGCATTTTACAATTTCCTGTCTTAATAATTAAATCCTTAAAAAAACATTTGTCTAATTGTGCATTATTTCTTTTTTTAAGCACGTCGAAAATCTCAAGCAATAATATCTCAAACAAAACCTTGTTTAAAATCAAGTACATGTGCAACGGAACAAATATTATTTTGTCAAAATCCAATTGATAGTAAATTATCTACAGCAATTCTATATAGAAATCAACCAATTGTTACGAATTGTTTTTCATATGATTTTTATTTTCCTGATCATCTTCTTCAACAAACTCATGAATGTATGATTATAGCAGCATTAAATCCACATTGTTTTACAATACAACTTAAACAAGATCCGATTGAATTTGATAAATTTCAACGTGAAATCAATGATTTTTATAATACAATTGATGATAAAAAATATTTCATACCATTAGAACAAATTCAAAAGAATTTATGTGTTATATGTGCTGATCCAAAATCTTCAGATAATGATAAAATTTGGAATCGTTCACAAATACTTGATTTTGATATAAATGATCAAACAGTTAATTTATTTTACGTTGATTTAGGTACATGGGATGAATATGTACCAATAAATCGTCTTCGTTATCTAATTGATAGTTTTCATCATCATTTAGTTTTTTCACTAACATGTCGTTTAGCTCATATATCACCAATTGATAATGATACGAAAATTGTAACATGGCCAGATGATGCAATAGATCAATTTTTAGCTGTTATTAATCAAGTTGTACCTGAAATTGAACTTTTAGCATTTGGAAATGATGGATTATTTCAAACAAATTTATTTGTTATTAATTCAGGACAATATGTTTGTGTAAATGATTATATGATACATATTAAAAAAGCTAAAGCAATTTTACAATCAACAGATATAGATGATAATAATCAAAATATTACTCAAGTAAGAAATACTTGAAACTCTGTTTTAAATATTCTGGGTATTTGATAATCACCTTTATCAGTCATAAGGATAAATCATAATAGGTTTCTATTCACCTAATTAAATTCACCCTAAAAGCTGCAATGGGAAGGATTTTCTCGTAAGTCTGATATGTTTTAGTAAAATATTTGTGAAACACGATCTAAAAGGAGTATTGAAGTGTTAAGGGGCAGAAATCTGGACTCCCTCCCCGCCCCCCCCCCCAACAGACGTGATCGACACATGTTCTTTTGACCTTGTCATAGACGTGACCGATACATGTTTTTTGACCTCGTCACAGATATAAATAGCAGATCTTCTTTTGATTATGTCATAGGCAGTGACCGTCATAGATATGAACATCGAGTTGCAGAACAAAATAAAACTACTGAACTCATATTGTTTAGGAAAGATAGATACGCAAGTAATTTCTTTTATATTAATCGATTTTTCTCTTCAATTTTGTAACAACTGTTAAAATGATAATCAAGCGAGTACATCATATGTTAATTCTTTCTTTCTGATATTTCTACACCTTTATGCTACAATTAAACTATTTTCTTGAAGGTAGAAACACAGTTAGATTGTGTTTTACATTTTAATCCCGCTAGCGATATGAATTATCCACATTTATTTTTTAGTCTGATAAACAAGGAACCGTTAATCATGGTCCAATAATTCATCCAGTAATTGCTTTATACAATCAATTAGGAGAGTTCGTAACATTTCAAATAACTATATTTAATAATTTCAATTTTTTTGTTTTTTTCCAGAATTTTAAAACGATCTATTATAAAATCTCGTTCAACTATTCTCAATAATTCATCGATTTCAATAAAACCTCTTGTAAAACTTATTCATACTAATACACAAATAAATAATATTCCTCAAAAACTACCTCTTATCTTTATACATTATGAAAAATCTATTCTTATACCTGATTTCAATATTTGTTCTTTACTTAAAATGATTAATTCAAATATTGATACTCATATTATCGAAGATTATGTAAGTACACATACAATATCATTATACAAA